ACTTGATATAGACACATCTGCGTAATTTTCTTTGGTGATGGGCTCGCCGTTCAGCGCCCACGATACCTCGATCGGCAAATCGCCCTTCACGATCGTGCAGACCGCCGAGACTGCTTCGCCCCAATTTGCAGGCTCGTCGCTGATTGAGAACGGAGCTATCTGCGGAGCGACTGAAAACGATATTTTCCAAGCGTGTCAAATCTACTCACAGACTCATCGAATTCGAATATCTGCATGCCAGGATCTGGCACGCGAGAAATGTTGATGTAAAGATGCCCTTCGAAAATATTCTATTCGTTGGAAAATGTTGTTCTAATTTGTGTAAATTCATGTTACATTCCTGCTTCACGCATGTATATTTTTTATTGCTGTACTGTGAATTTTTTTGCGCGCACGTTTCTCATATAAATAATAAACTTCAAGTTTGAGAAAAAAAAATGTAGCGAGAAATGAGAGCATATTTTTTCGCAGTATCGTTATCGCTTCGAGTCAACTTTATGCAACGAAATAGCGGGCTGCAAAATCTCCCCGCGGTCACGGAATGAATGCACGATGAAAAGCCAGACAGACGGACACGTTCTCATCGACCCCCGTACTCGACAAGGCGTGAAAGTGCGTTGAAAAGATCGTGGGTGGTGAGGAAGAGTTGAAGAGGGATGATGATAAGGAGGGACATTTTGTCTTCTACGCCCGACGGAGAAGAATATAGTCGCGAGACGAGGTATCGCGTATGTGTGTGTGTATGCATGCGCGCGTGTTACCGTTCACAGCTAGAACAGCTGTATGACTGGAAGCCCCGGCTTTGTTCGACGCGGTGCAAGTGTACTCGCCGGCGTGTCTGGCCGCGACAGCATCGATCGACAGGACGCTGAGACGCTTGCCCTTCGTTATAGAGAATTGATCTGCGTTCTCGGCGGATATTGGCTCGCCGTTGAACGCCCAGGCAATGTCCATCGGGAAGTCCCCCTTGAGGATGGAGCAGGTCGCGGAGATCGCCTCCCCCGAGTTCACCGGCTCGTCGCCGAACGTGAACGGGAAGATCTGCGGAGCAACTGCGATCGCGGATCGCGCGTGAGACAAAAAAGAACCTCGACTCGACGCAACTTCCTCCTTCGCGATTATTATAATGTTACAGATCCTCGGCCGTTTCTCGAGAAATCTTTGTCGACGGTGATTGCAGCGATATCAGGAGCAAAGGGGTGTCGTGAGACAATGCGATGATAAGGGGTGGTTTACGATGAATTATGAATTATGAATTTCGCAGTGATGGGTTAAGCGAGTGCTATACGACGTTTAGCTGACGTGCAGGGGTGCTTTTGGAATTAAGTAGGTACCGTTGACGGCGAGGGTCGTCGAATGGCTGACGTTGCCGGCCTTGTTCGTAGCTACACACGTATACTCGCCCGCGTGCCTCGCGGCCACGGATTCAATGCTGAGAGCGCTCATATGTTTATTAATCCTCGTGATCGTGATATCCGAATCGTGCGGACTAATCGTATGGCCATTAAACTTCCAAGTGATTTTTATGGGAGAATCGCCTTTCGTGATAGAACACGACACGGAAACCATGTCGCCCGAATTCGCCGGTCCATCACTAATCGTGAAAGGCCCTATGTGTGGTGCAACTATAATGTTATGATAACAAAAATCAGCTGATTTCTACAACCGTGAAATATAAATTTACATAAAATGACAAGTTAGAAACCTCTTTATTTATTATATGTATATGTATAATATATAATATATGTATATATATATATATATATATATATATATTAAAGTATTACAATCCTGCTCGCGTAAAATGATTTTTCAACGCGCAAATTGCATTTTTGATAATTATTGTTCCTAACATAGCTGAAATGGAAGAGAAAAAATATCGTTTTTACACTTTTGCGTGGAAAGAGGAAATTGAAGGAGATTGTGGGAGTGATAAACCGTTTTGCACATGCATAATAGGGAAAAGTGAGATAGCTACGCGAAACACAAGACGTGGGAAGACCTTTGTACCGTTCACGGCAAGTGATGCGGAATAACTCGTTCCACCAGCAACGTTGCTAGCCGTGCAGGTATATTCTCCAGCATGGCGTGCCGTTACCGCATCGATTGTAAGCAGACTGACGCGCTTGCTGGTACTGACTATCGATATGTCAGAATGATCTCGAGAAATTGGCTCGCCGTTGAGTGCCCATTCAATCTGAATTGGATGATCGCCTTTCAACACGGTGCAAGTTACCGTGATGGTGTCACCCCAATTCGCCGGTTCCTCGCCGATATCAAACGGCATGATTTCAGGGGCAACTACAGAAGTTTCAATTATAATTTTATTCTACTCCAATTTTAGCAAAAAATGTGATTTCTCGTCGGATTCGAAAATTCATGTTCGATTATAAATTTTAATACAATTTTAATACATTATAAAATGTATGAAAATATTTCAAATACTTGAATTTTCATCAGCTCAGCCTGCCACTTTCGTCAGACGTGAAGGAACGTGATGGGATCCTTGGGAGTAAGTATGTGAATAGTGTTAAAATGTCAAGCTACATCAGCGAATGGACTCGTGCATGCACTGAAGAATTAATGAGAGTTTTGAAGAACGTCGTATTGTACCATTGACGGCTAAGGAAGCGGAATAACTCGTTCCACCAGCAACGTTGCTAGCCGTGCAGGTATATTCTCCAGCATGGCGTGCCGTCACAGCATCGATTGTAAGCAGACTGACGCGCTTGCTGGTACTGACTATCGATATGTCAGAATGATCTCGAGAAATTGGCTCGCCGTTGAGTGCCCATTCAATCTGAATTGGATGATCGCCTTTCAACACGGTGCAAATTACCGTGATAGTGTCACCCCAATTCGCCGGTTCCTTGCCGATCTCAAACGGCATGATTTCGGGGGCAACTACAGAAGTTTCAATTATAATTTTATTCTACTCTAATATCAGCAAAAAATGCGATTTCTCGTCGGATTCGAAAATTCATATTTGATCTTTAATTTTAATACAATTTTAATACATTAAAATATATTAAAATGTATGAAAATGTTTCAAATACTTGAATTTTTATCAGCTCAGCCTGTCACTTTCGTCAGACGTGAAGGAACGTGATGGGATCCTTGGGAGTAAGTATGTGAATAGTGTTAAAATGTCAAGCTACATCAGCGAATGGACTCGTGCATGCATCGGAGTATTAATGCGAGTTTTGAAGAACGTCGTATTGTACCATTGACGGCTAAGGAAGCGGAATAACTCGTTCCACCAGCGGCGTTACTAGCTACGCAAGTATATTCTCCGGCGTGGCTAGCCGTAACGGCGTCGATCGTGAGCAAGCTGACACGTTTGCTGGTGACAATCGTTATGTCGGAAAAATCGTGGGAGATCGGCTGACCGTTGAGCGCCCATTCGATCTGTATCGGCTGATCTCCCTTCAGGATAGTACACGTCGCAGTGACTGTTTCTCCCCAATTCGCTGGTTTCTCACTAAGCACGAAAGGCGCAATCTCCGGAGCAACTAAAGCGAACAGATGATTGACCGTATAATACGACTAATCTACTGCGAGCCATCGACATCGGTATGAATACGATAACACGTCTTTGCGATCCGATAACGCGTTGAAGACCGCGATTGACCATCGATAATTTCAGAGGAGATGGATAATGACAGATAATGCAGACGGATGAAGACGGGAGATGACAGAGGTTCAAGAGCGAATGCACGGGAAATATCTCGCACGAGATGTACCGTTCACAGCTAGAGTCGTTGAATGACTGGTCGCTCCGGCTTTATTCGATGCCGAACACGTGTATTCTCCTGCGTGTCTCGCGGCGACGGACTCGATGCTGAGGATGCTATTCTTCCGCGTCGTCGCCAGGATATTAATGTCCGAACGATCTGGCCGGATCGGCTCGCCGTTCAACGCCCACATGATCTCGATTGGTAAGTCACCCTTGAGAATGGCGCACACCACGGAAATAGAATCGCCCCAGTTTGCTGGTTCCTCGGCGATTTCAAACGGTGCGATTTGCGGTGCGACTGCAACGAGTTTTTTCGTTTCGCTTCTTTTTTTCTCACTTTTCTTTTTTTTTATTACTCTTTCACGCAAACCGTTTCGTTCATTTATGTCGACGCGACAAGCCTAGAGAATTAAAGAAAAAAAAACGAACGAAGATATGTCGGAATAATTGTCTTTTCTTTAGACGTTCGATCGCATCCTCGAATTTTGATTGGGATGTGAAGGGAGAGGAAGATATATAGAAACGGAGCAAAACTGACATTCTCTTCTAACGACTATTGTAGATACCGTTAACTGTTAATTCCGCGGAATAAGTGGTTGCACCAGCAGCATTAGAGGCAACGCAAGTGTAAGCGCCCGCGTGACTCGGACTCGCAGAATCTATGGACAGCAGGCTGTTCCTCTTGGTTGTGGTTACGGATATTCGATGATTCTCCTCGATAGGCATTCCGTTCAACGCCCACGTGATTTCTAACGGGGTATCCCCATTGACCACCGTACAAACCGCCGATACGGAATCGCCCCAATTCACCGCCTTGTCGGCCATTTCGAAAGGTGCGATGCGCGGCGGTACTGTCACAGAAACGCTCTTTGATACCGAACCGGAAGCGGGAGTAAGTGAGACAACGAGAGAAAAAAGAAGCTTGAAAATTATAGATTATAGAAATTTCAATCTTCCAAGACAATTTTGTTCTCGAGATGCAACTTGCTTGAAAGCATTCAAAGTCTAACAAAGAAATATGTAATTGGCGTATCATTGACACATTTTCTTTTCTTTAAAGGCAACTAGTTTAATTCAACTATATAGTGATAACGCGATGTTGTTATCAGCTACATTTCAAAAGCTGCGGCGCATTGCCATACACACGCATCCTTCCTGGTGGTGCCACGAAGCGCTATATAAGAGAAGCGTAGCCTGATGTGTGTGTGTTTCGTGCGTCCAACCAACCACCCAACCGTCATTGATTCAAACTGAACAAGCGTACCGTTCACCGAAAGTACCGAAGAGTGGGTAGCGGTTCCGGCCGTGTTGCTCGCAGTGCACGAATACTCGCCCGCGTGTCTTGCGGCTACCGATTCAATCGTCAGTTGGCTGATCCGTTTGCTACTCCTGCTTATCACTATATCGGAATTGTCGTAATTATGCTCGTCGAATGCGCCATTCGCGGTGTCGATCACACGCCCGTTAAACGACCAGATTATGTCGACAGGTAGATCGCCTTTTATCACGGCGCATTGAACCGTTGCCATCTCTCCCGCATTGGCTGCCTCGTCGCCGAAGGTAAAGGGCGCGATTTGCGGCGCCACTGCAACCGCGAAGGGCACACTCGTGAACCACACGTTTGAAGTTTCCGAACATTCGCGATAAGGTAACGTAGCCGAACGAAATTTAGAACCAAACTGGACGACTCACACAAAACAGTATTTGTGGATTTTTCAAAGGAAAACTTGGAGAGGGAGATGGAGAAAAGGGTACTCTCAATAAAGGACATCGAACAACAATATAACGATAAAGCGATACGGGAAGATTCGAAAGAAAAATATTAAAAAGAAAAAAAAAGATATATATATATATATATGACGTGAGCCATCGTTTCGCTGTCACTGCAGGATGGACCTTTGTCACTGGCTGTCGTCGTCTTCAACGATAATCTCACCACTTCAGAGTGTGAGATCATCGCCTCGACAACGACAGTAAGCGGTGATTACTCAATCGATATTACTGCGAAGATATACAAGAAGTTACAATAGAATAACGTAAGTGTGTATACAGGTGTAAGGCAATAAATTTGTTTACATATACGAGAGCGCGGTACCGTTCACCGAAAGTACAGCGGTGTGACTGTCGGATCCGGCGGCATTGGTCGCAGTACATTTGTATCTTCCAGCATGCCTCGCCGCTACGCTGTCGATGCTCAAGAAGCTGACCCTCTTATTGATCACAATATTAACATCCGGCCGACTCGAGTCGATCGGCATGTCGTCGAATGTCCACGTCAATTTTACGGGAAAGTCGCCCTTGACGATCGTGCAAGAGACCGACAGCATCTCGCCGGAGTTGAGAGGATCGTCGCCGAAGGAAAATTGAAGGATCTGTGGCGCGACTGCGTGAACGACACCCAGCATAGACGGAAGGGTATGATAAGAGACAGAAAATGGTCGGTAAAAGGATAAATAATGGTATTTGTATGAATGTATAAATATATAAATGAAAAATTTTCTACAATTTTTTTAACGTAACGAAAAGAGAGAAAAAATAAAAATGTATATATGTCAGAAATTGTAGAATTATTAAATTAATTAGTAACAAATTTGTAACAAAAAATAATGTAATTAATTATAGAAATTTAGAATTTTTAGATTATTAACTTATTAATAATATTTGCAACAGCAAATAATTAAACATTTTTTACATTTTGTAACGTGATAAAAAGACAGAAAAAAATAAAAATGTACATATATGTCAATATAAAATTGTAGAATTATTAAATTATTAGTAACATTTGTAACAAGAAATAATGATGTAATTAATTATAGAAATTTAGAATTATCAAATTACAGATAGTGTTAGAATAATTAAATTATTAATAATATTCGCAATATCAAATAATGATGATTAATTAAGGACATTATACACATATTGATGTAAAAGAAAATTTGCATAGCCGTGTTTCTAAATGTTAACGATCAGCTATGATCGATGAAATGCTTGGACGATGTGTTAGGAAGACGAGGAAGACGATGCATGATAAAGATGAGCGAGAGCATTCACTTCTTCCATGGAAATCGATTATATGTACCGTTTACAGCCAGATGAGCCGTGTGTGTCGTGGCACCAACGCGATTTGACGCAGTACAGGTATAATCACCGGCGTGTCTGGCCGCGACCGATTCGATAGATAAGACACTGTTCTTTCGATTCGTGCTGCCTACCACGATGTCGGAGTCGCGACTGTCGACCGGCGTTCCGTTAAAGGCCCAAGTTATCTCGATGGGCTGATCGCCCTTCGTGACGGAACAAGTGACTGAGACCAACTCGCCCCAGCTGGCCGGTTCATCCCCGAAAGCGAAAGGCAGTATTTGCGGGGCAACTGGAAAGAGCGACTGGGAGAAACGGGGCAAGAAAGAATAACTGTCGATTCGCGATGTTTCAAGAATAATCCTCTAACTCGGTGACATTTTTCGCGTCTCTAATCCGGCGACATACATGATATAGATGAGGTTGGTATGGCGATGGAATATGTATCTGATTCGTCGAGAGATTTTTCGGCTAGGATGATGATGGGTGAATGATTCGACAGATGGAGATGTGTATATATTTGAGGTTTATGAAAATAATGAAGTACAAAATCTATAACGGGAACCGTGCAACGGGGATGAAAGTCGTACCGTTAACGGTCAGAGTTGTCGATCGACTGACAGAACCGGCCAAATTTGATGCGGAGCAGGCGTATTCTCCAGCGTGGCGCGCCGAGACGCCGTCGATGCTGAGAGTGCTCAAGTGCTTGCTGATTTTGGTGATCGCGATACCGGTATCTTTCGACGTGTCGATCGGGACACCGTTAAACGCCCACGATATATCCATGGGCATGTCGCCCTTCAGGATCGAGCAGGGCACGGACACGGAATCTCCCCAATTGGCGATCTCGGCATTGAAAGCAATGGGTAGGAGCTGCGGTCCGACTAGAGGTGTCATCAAACAAATGCTTCATTCGCAGCAGCGTCTGTGAAATCGTGGATCGCTTCGTCGTATAGTCGCGTTAAAGCCTTCGATGGATTACGAACGAACGGAGGAGTCGATAACATTCACGCAGAAAGAGAGAAAGAGAGAGAGAGAGAGAGCAAAATAGGAAAGGGAGGACGAGCATGACAAACGAGAGGAATGAACTCTATAATGATGCTGTTTGCAGGGTTTGTGCAAGGACAAGATAAAAAGGTGAGAAAAACGAAAATAATGTAAAAAACTCTGTGTTCTCTAGGAACAGAATCGTAGTCCCGAACCATTGACGGTGAGGATGGTCGAGTGGGACGCCGTTCCAGCCGCGTTTTCGGCGGTACAAACATATTTCCCCGCGTGTCTCGCGGTGATGACCGAGATCATGAGCATGCTAACGCGATCCGCGACCTTCTTCGCAATTACGCCGGAGGAACCGCCCATCTCTTCTCCGGGATAGCTCCAATGTATGTTTAACGGCAGGTCGCCGGTCGGCGCGATACACTGCAGATTCGCAAACTCCCCGGCGTTCATCGGTAGCTTCATGAACGCGAACTCCTGAACGATGGGCGGCACTGAGGATGGAGGAGCGATGTATGGATGCATACGATTAGATCGCGCAATTGTCGCCTGTATATCCGTAAGTGCTTCCGCGCCATGCTTGTGGATGTATCATAGACATTAAACGTTACTTTAAACTTCAAAATTCCTGCGCAATTTTTTATTACAGTTTTCTTTTTCGATTTTATATTCAAATTCTTTTTCTTCTTCAACACTTCTTTAACAGAGAATTAAATGATTTGATTGTATTCGAAATATGTTAATTCAATGTTGTAAAAAATTGTATTTCAATCATATTATTTCACAAAGTTATATTTATTCTTCGTCTAATTGTAAAACTGTCTATAATACGCATGGACGCATGACACTTGTATAAGATCGACGTACAACGGAAGAAGAGATCTCATTTAAGCGTATGAGAATTTTTACTAACGAGACTCACAATCGGCCACCGCCATACCAACTCCCAAAACTTTCCACAAATGCGTGTCCTCTCTATGGATCGACGTACGTTTGCTCTACGTCATTAAGTAATTAATTAACGACAGCAACGAGATCGTCCATGCACGTGTCCGAGTCCGTGCCCGTGTCCTATGTACAGTCGCACCCGTTAGAATCTATGTTTCGTACACGCGCGAATATGACATCCTCGAAAAAAAAAAATTTGTCGACACCTTCAGCATTACGTATAATGTAGGGCAGTGCGACATAAAATTTAGTAGCGGCTGTAACAGACACGACGATCTGTTGCAGGGAGAATAGCTGCAAATAAAATGTTTACTATTCCTAACATTATTGTCTCGTTGATTGATCAACTGTTCGGCTGATGGCTGTAAATGTAAATGCATTTTCTGCTTTCGTAATTATATTGAAAGACTCGTTATTTTGACAAAGAATTAAGTAGATCATAAAAACCAATTGTTCTTTGAATATATGCATGTTAAAAGTATTTTTGATTTAATTTGATTTGAGAGTAAAATTTTGTTATTTGAATATTCTATGAGACGTTCAAATTTTTATTTAATAAATTTTGCGTCAAAATTTCAACTCTGTTAAACAGAAACAATTATTTAACTTTTAAGATATCGAATTTTTCAACTCTCCGAATAAGAGTGATCTGAATAATATTTGTCATAAAATTTTTCAAGTATCGATATATATACGAAATTATCGACGACGCAAGAACTATAAGAAAATATAAAGTTTCAAACTTACCCATGACTTGAACTTCCAGCGTTCCACGTGCACTGTAACCTTGTGCGTTGCGTGCTACGCACGTGTAGGTTGCCTGGTCGCTCATTCGTTCAACATTCTCGATGATAAGTGTGCCATTAGGGAAGACCTTTTGCTTTCTATTGATCGGCAGGACTCTGGTGTCTCGTTCCCAAACGATGCTTTCGATCGGATGTCCAGCAACAGGACAGGTGACGCGTAGAGTTTCTCCAGCGACGATAGCTTTTTTGTCCATATGACGAATGAATGGCAAACCATACACGTTGAGACGAGCAGAATGCTCAGCAGCTCCAACCTATAACAATAATACATGGCACATTTTATTTAAAATGTATCTAAAAGCCGTATTAAATTTATTAAAAAATGTTACAGAGTAACCCAATAAATAAAATTAAAAATTTTTTATTTATTATAATTATTTTTAATGGTGATTGATAGATGGAAAAATTTTAATTTTACCATGTTTTTTCCATCCAAATAAGTATTACAAAAAATGAAAGAACCACCAACCTTTGATGCAGCAATGCACTTGTACAGTCCACCATCATTGGTATGAATGCTTGAAATATTCAGATGCGACACGACATCACCATTGACGGTGACGTATTGTCCCACTTGCAGTCTCTCGGTGTTCGACAGCCGTTTTCCATCAAGTTCCCAGGTAATTTCGGGGGTGGGATTTCCGCTGGCAACACACTTCAAAAACATGCTCGGTCCAGGCTGAAGAGTTTCCTCTGTAAAGGCTTGACGAATCTGGGGGGGCTCGACTGTCGATAATCAAAGAGACAGAAGGATTATTCGTTGACACGTACATACATATAAATGCAATCATTATATTATCTTTTATATTTGCTCATCAGTCAATTTTCTTAATTGGCAATTTGATATTGAATTAGAAGCGTATTAATTCAATGAGAATTATATCAGAGAAAATTCTCTATCAATTCATCAAACTTTATTTACAAATAAAATTGACAGTAGTTTTTAATTAAATTAATGATAATGTCAATTCTGTAAATAAATAATTTGATTATTCGGGAAAATTATGATATATAATATAAAAAAAATATATATATATATATATATATATTAAAAGTTTAACTCACATCTTCCGCCAAGTTTCAGTTCTGCTGTTGCTTGCGCGCTTTCCTGGTCATTCCTAACAAAGCATTGATACATTCCTTTATCCTCCTTCTTCACGCTTTCGATTCTCAGCACGCGATCTTCCAATCCAAGGGGCTTTCCATCCTTGAGCCAAGAAATGGTCTTGATCGGGTTGCCTTGAACGGTGCAGGTGAAGGTTGCAGGTCTCCCGAAGTCGATGGTCTGCGTGCTCGGTTCGATCTCCGCGTTCAGCGGTGCAGTGACAGTCAAAACAGTCTCCACGCTTTCGCCGCCGACGGAATTGTTGACGATGCAAAGATATTTACCGGAATCTTCGACTCGCGCTTCACGGATGATCAGAGTGCCGCTAACCTGACGTACGCGCTCATTCAGCTGGACCGGCTGACGTCTCGACGTGCCCTCGATGAATTTGTACCATCTGAAACAAGAGGAAAAAAAAACTGCCGATTTTTGCGCTAACGCCGAAACGAGAGAATCGCTCGTTTCGTACCTTTATTATTTTCGCTTATCAATTTAAATTCATTTTAAATTTAGACCGCAAAATGGAACAAGTAATTACAAGTACTAAAATTAATAAAATAAAAGCTAACTTTAATAAGAATTTTATTATATAAATTTTAAAAATATTTATATATACAAACATATACATTTATTTATTGTATATACAGTTAATTGTTAGTTTATTTTAAATGTACATACATTTAAAAATTCTTTTTCGATAAAAAATATTTGTCTCGCGTGAATATTTTTATCACATATAATACAATGCCAATGAAGCTTTAAGTGGATGAGAATGAATGAGAAATTTTGGCGAATACATTATTTGCTCCATTTTACGCTGTTGTGGCTTATCGAATAAGCCTTATAGGATAAGCCTTATTCTATATGCGGGGCTTTGGGCGTCTCTGGGCACGGCCTTTTGTTTCTCTTTCACCGATCTATCGGTATTATTTGTCTCACGATATATAATTCCGTAAAGAACAAAACCATAATTCAATAAATAAAACAAGACATCTCTACTGTAACCTTACACGATCAAGAAGCGATGCAGGCGGGGCGCAACAGAAGAATAAAGATTGGCGACGATAGACGATTAAAAGCAAGAATAAAGAAATATACAAAAGGATATTTGCGTAATCTTGCCGCAAAAAATCCCCGAAGGAGAAGGTGAGAGGCGGGCGACTGCAGCGTGAAAGCAAGTACGAACGACTCTACTCGATTCTTCATGGTATATGCGATCATTGTTCGCAACGACGCTGGACTAGACTAAGCCAGGGAGAGCGAAAACGCCTAAAATAAAATCCAGAACATAAAATGACGTAACGAAACGATCGCAGTAGCGGTCTTTTGACGTGGCTGTTGGACGCAGGTGCTAGTGCAGGGTCACTTTCGTAATTTTTCAGGCAACAATATCTCAGATAACGACGTTGCAATGTCAAATTATTTGACATTTTTTTCTCCGACATTAATTAATCGATTTCAGAATCGTGAACAAGTGACCTACTAATTGGGATTACGAGATATTGTTGAATATATATATATATATATACAATATATATATATATATATATATGTATATATATATCACAAGTGATGGAAGGCGATCGGATGGGAAGCATAAGTGGTGGTGGTGTTGGTGAACTGGCGGTACGTTTAATAGTGCAACTGGACGACGTGAAAACCCGTTAAGGCTCGATCCTCGTCGATCACTCACTCACGCGCAACGTGTATACATGAACAAACGATCTGCTTCTCTTTACCTTTTCTCGTGAACGAGCGGGAGAGAGAGAGAGAGAGGGCGGGAAATTATGAATTAAAACACGAGCGGATGAACGGAGGTACGAGAAGGTGGCGAGGACTTACCAGCCAGATATTGTGGGACTTATTTGGAGGTGTGCAGGTGTAGGGCAACATTGACCGGCCCATTGATCGGGTGACACCCTCTCGGACCACCCGGATCAGCACCGAGGATACCGGGGGAGCAGAGAGCCCGCATCCTTTTCAAGGTCGCGCTTCCGTCACCTATCTCGAAGATTGCGCCGAAGGGGGTAGGATCCAGTTGGCACTGAAAACCAACACGTCCGATTGACCCCGAATCAGGAATATGCATATCGTCGATTAATCGCTTATCGCTCTTGTGTGACTCGTGTATAGAATATCGCGCGGTTACTTTCGGAATGGAAAATCTGTCGAGATCACGAAAATCGAGAGCACCAGTTTATTTTACGCCTGCCATTCAATTCTGTGTTAATTTACGCTTTCTTTTGCTCTCTTTTCGTTTTTTATCAACGTTCTCCTCATCTCACATTTTTTTTTACCGAATTTTCACGTTTTACACTTCCTGCCTTAAGAAAGTCCTGGCTCTTTTATAATATATCCCTATCCTTTTGCAGAAAACATATCCGCTCTTTCTTTGCCCCTGTCGTAATATCTTACGGTACCGCCACCCGACACGGGGTAGAGGGTAAGGATAAAAAAATATCAAAAGTGAATACATAGGATCCGTGTATCCCGCGGAGCGTGAGACTACGTCCAAATCAGGGAGAACAAAAATCTAAACGGAGTTTAGGTGTGTACCTAGTTATCGGGGCAGGAAAGCCTTGTGCCGCACACGCCAGCGCCAGAGACTCGCCCTCTACCCCGCGGTACTTATTAAGGCCGTCTCCAGTCGTCTTCGGGGCAGTACGACCAGACGGCTCTGAAATAAATAGATCGCCCAAATTGAGAGCTTCGTAACTCTCGTTTCAAATTCCGCTCTATTTCTTCATTCCGTTCCGGAAACAATGCGCGAGGGAGAATCCGAGTAACAAGTTTGATTATACGTACCCTGTATGCCATATTGTGCTGACCTGGCTTCATTCAATAGAACTGTCGCATGCAATTTACTTACCTTATCAAGATGCCAGATTGGGAATATATTCGTTTCAATGTAAGTTTACATCTGATATTTTTAGTATATATATTAATTATATCTGAATAATTTATCTTACAAAATTCTTCAGATTTTTATGTATTGCTTATCATATGACATATCAGACGAAAAATATAGATGTAAACTTGTGATAGACCGAATAGACTACTTAATTTTATTCACGATAGTTAAATTCTGAGCACAGAATTCAGATTATTTCTTCGTTTTGTAATTTTTAATTTCTATCATTCATCAGATAAAATTTTGACGTGTATGAATATTCAACATTTTTGCTATAATTTTATTCTATTTATAGACGACGACGATGAAAAATGAAAACGAGGAAAGATGAAAAAACGGATGTGGAAGAAGGAATGGTACAAAGTCTACCTTGTGAAAGGTACAGGGTATCCCTGAAGGGAATGGCTCAACGCGACGTCCTGATTTCTAGCAGTCAAAACAAGTTCCCATCCCTCAAATTTCTTCCCCGATGATCGCGGCGCGATCTTACTTGTACCCTCTGAAATCGGATTATGTAAAATCGTAAAAAAAAAAAAAACATGGAAAATTTTTCAGTGATCTTTGCCGATATACCTTGTTAATGGGACAGGAAAACCCTGAGTCGCGCAATCCAAAGCCGCCATATTTGTCTTTAGTACATCTATTAGTTTGCCACCCTCGTAACGCTCACCGGCAATGCGTGGCGCGACATTGCCAGTCGGTTCTGTAAATAGGGTCGATGCAAAATACGAGCTAGCATAATACAAGATTTTACTTTAAGTTATATATTATTAAATTTTTTTTTTAATTTAATAAATTATTTTAATAATATAAAAATAGTTTTAAAATAAAATAAAATCATACGAATTCTCGAATTGACTTGAAAATCTTTCTATAATTGAATCTTGTTTTTTTTTTTTATAATTTATCGATATTTATAATAATGATAATTTAATAAATATTGTGTATTTTAAGTTACACAATTTTAATTCGCATCACGTTTAATTATAATTGTCCCATAAATGTCTATACCTGAATGCAGGGGCTGGGAAACCCTGAACAGGACATGGTAGACCGACCATTCTTTCGACTAGGATGTTTTTCTTCAATCCGTTTACATCTTTGTCTCGTACGTTTGGACGTACGCTGGCTCGCGGTTCTGCAATAGCGCAAATAGTGGAAAAATAGGAAACGCAACGATTTCTCCGTCGTCGTCATAATTATCAAGCTTATCATTGACGCACGATACGCAAAATGCGAATGTTGCAAAATGTGAAGATAACGATTGTTTATCGAATAATAGTGATCGAATCATTTTATCTGTAAACAATTTCTTACCAATTTTTATCAAATTGTGATAATTAAATTAAAATTATTTTTTATAAAACTTTATTTTTATATAAGTTTATTTTATAAATTTTATAAATTTTGAATTCCAAAATTGATGAAATAACTGACAGATTATTTGTTAGTGAGATTGCTTGATAATTTTGCTCACCTAAATAAAGGCGAGGGACTGGCTTGAGCATCGCAGAGCAATGTTACTGCTTGATTCTCGATTTTGATCATTCCATCAAATTTGGATCTAGGCGGCAATCGAGGCGGACTACTTCCAACCGGTTCTAAAAACGAAAAAGGTGAATGGTTCACCATCTACCAAAGAATCAATCGATATCTTCACATAATCTGCTTCGATTCAAAGTATGAATGACGAGATGCACTTTTGGCTTCAATAAAAACAAATTTCAGTATTTCCTGACGTTTAAAAAATATTAATTAATTTAATAATAGATTCAGAATTTAAGATTTTATAATAATGCGTTCTTAAAATTAGAAGAATTTTGTTTACAAGATTCTTTTTACACGTAAACAAGTATAGAATATAAATTCTATTTAGAACTACCTAATCTTTATCAATTGCATAATTATTTTTTATTTCACAAAATTTTCTAACGCCCAATTTTTTTGCATCAAATCTACACATACCTAAAGACAGGAAGTGGATTAGCTTGAGCCTGACACAACATCGCCATGGCAGATTGCGACGCGACCGAGAAGACAATTATTTTAGCTGTCGGTGGCACTTTCGGTGCTGCACCAGTTACTGGCTCTACATACACAAACAATAATGCGATGAAACGATTCTAGATATTCTATATTAAAATATATCTTCCCTAAAGCGAGTAAAGCTTTCTCCAAAAAAAAAATCAGTATACTGAAGACGTTCTTTATATAAGAATCAAATAGAGCTGACGCGCGCAATAAAAGAGATTCACCGCCACAATCCTCATTAATAATCGTACCTAAAAGTTGGAAGAGGGTGTCCCTGCGCAGGGCACAGCATTGTTAGAGCTGCTCCAACGACATTCGCGAGAACGTCATATTTCGAGGTGGAAGCGACTCTAGGTTTGGCACCATTTATCGGTTCTACAGAACAATAACGTTATGAAAGAAAGCTATATCGAAGGCAAAAACAAGCTCCACAAACATGTTAATTGTGTATAATA